GCTTGTTTGTCCCTTCAGTTTTGTTCGTGAAGTTCTCCAGCATTGGGTAATGCAGTCAGTAAAAGAATCATTACTGGAAAAAAAGTAACTGAAGGACAGAAACATGTTTCAAACTTTCAAATTCAAAGGTCTGGAATGGGATTTTGACACTCCCTATGCGAATTTTTATCAAAAATTATTCAAATTTGGTTCTCTAAAATTGCATTTTGAATAATGTAGACAGACTTAGAAAGAATAAGTATAAACATTACTTCAAAAACTTCTAGCTTTAATTTAAATTTTGGTTTTGAGCATCTATTTCCAATATCCATTTTAGAACATTTGGTACATTGCGCAAACGTTGCATTTAATTGTAATGTTCATTTTTAGAAGAGTGCCTCGAATTTTCATTGGAGGTGAATTTTTTGGAGGTTGCGATGAAATATGTGCAGCAAAGAAGGATGGTGTTTTAGAACACAAGCTTAGTGCGATTGAAGCTATGAAGGAATTAAAAACAGTTGAAGTTCTTTGAAGGATAATACAAAAGCACCATACAAGTGCACAACCGGAACCTCGAATAGCCGTAAATTTTAAAGATTTAATTCATATTATCTTCTGATGTTTTTACAGAATAATCACTTGATATCTGGGTGATAAAAATTTCAAGTTTCAACTGAGTGACAGATCTACAAAATTTACAGTTCCTGAATCACACTTATTTCATTTTCTACATTTGTAAACAATGTATTTTGATTTTCTAGCTCTCAAACAGGTATTATCAAAACATAGGGAAAACTTTGTGAAAATTCGAATGGCATTGTATGACAACGTAGCTAAATATGGAAGGGATAGCTACTAGTGCTGTAGCAAACGGTTATAATTCTAAAAGAATTATAATTCTTTTTCTGATTTGTTTTTTAATGATTTCAAGTATGAATGGAATTTTTAGCAGTTTTTTGTTTTTATTTTATTTGAACTTTTTTTTCAAATTATTGGTTGAAATATTACAAAGAGAAGTCTTTTTTCCAGATCTCGAAATCTGGAACAGAGTAGTCTGCAGTAATTATCTATTGCATCTGATCTCTTAATGATCTCTTAATGAGATCTCTTGATGAGCTGAATGAGCTAAATCAACGATCTCTTAATGAGCTAAATCAATAGAATGGCGATAAAGTAAGATGATGAACTGTCCTTGTACCAGGCATAATTCAAGGGAAAAGTAAGTATGAGCAACAACAAATGAATTGGAACATTTTTCGTTTATCGCTGAAATACTCGCAGAGAAAAATATTTTAGGAATAAAGTGAACCTATCAGTAAGTCATCCTCATCGTCGCCATTATTTTGCCCCACATTTAAACTTTTCCTTATACCATATGCCCGATTACTCTGAACCAGACCATTTCGTCGTCGTTGGCATCGTAAGACAATCACTAGTAATAGTACGATGAATAGTACGGAAGCCAGAGCGATAAGCCATCCATTAAATTGTGTGGATCGAAAAACAGACGTACTAGTACTATTGGTTGGATTAACCTCATCCAACCCAGTTCGTATCGGTGATCTCATCTGCTCTTCACGTGGCACATTAATATACTTATTCTGCCATTGCCTATAATAAAAGCTTCATGAATATAGCTGTACAACATGCACTAAGGATCTTTGATGACCTCTCAAAATCGCATAATGCTTAATTAAGAGTATACATTTCATGAAATATTAACCTTTTATTGCAATCAACTTCATCGGATCCATCAGTACATTGTGGAATACCATTGCACAGATCATACTGTGCTATACATTCACCATTATTGCACATCCATTGCCACTCACCACAAGTTAACATCTGGGCTGATGCACACGATATTATCATCTCTGAAACATCCATCGAATTGGCGGGTCCATATGACAAATAACAAAGCATTCAATTAACTTATCATCGTTCATTCTGTTTCCGAAACTCAACTAAATTACCTGCTAAATACAGTCTTAAAATGCCGTGAAGTTAATTGTATTGTCAAGAATGAAGGCCTTGCTCTAAACGAATGAAATTTTGAACAAAGTCTTCATTCTTAACAAGTAGGGAGAGCAAATAGGATGGAATCGAGCTGGCAACAATTATGATAGCAATTATCCATATATATTGTTCCTCAAAACAAGTAATAAATATAGAAATTGAATAAATTTCCGAGTGAGGAAACATAATGTGTAGGACGTACCAATCTTATTGATTCTACAGAGGTCTTGCAGGCACTTTGCTCTATTTCAGCCTTAGATCCACTCTTCCATGTGTGTATACGTTGTTGCAACGTGTCAGTTATCGATCTCGATTCCACTGCTATCATAACGCATGAGAATATGTCTCAGTTTATCGATGATGATTATAACAATTAAAACACTCGTATTCGACAGCAAAGATAACATTATCTTCCATAATATATTCACCTTTCCACTCAATTTTTAAATTCGGACAAGCTCGATAATCATGTCCCAATATCTTCCTACGCATTGCAGGCAATTTTTTGAAACATTTCTATCGTTTAACAATAAGAAATATCAGGAAAATCATTATTTTCTACTGGTTATTTCTTTAAGATTTTAAAATTATTTACCGTCGATATTATAATAATGTCGCTAAATGAGTGTTTCATTACAGCCTGAACTATAACGCCTGCAATCAGCCATCATTTTAAATTCGCACGTGCAAATTGCAGAGAGTGAGAAAATCACGCGCGGTAATGCACCATAACATGATGGTCTGATCTCCTTTTTTTTTATCCCACGTAAAATCGATTATATTTGCAGTCATAATCCAAATGGAGCTTCAAAATAATGTGGACGTCCAACTTGCAGCCGCGGTTGCGTATTGCTTTCAAAATATTCGAAATTCTCAATCGGTGAGTGTTAAATTATTTTTCGAGTTAGTTAAGTATATTGGAATTTTAGATTTCTTTTCGATGGAATAGCAATGCATAAGATGAGAGAGCGAGGGGAATGATAATCTTTCAGCAAATTCATCCCTTCCTTCAATATTTCCATACACTGAGATGTAAAAGTTAATTACTCTAACACTTAATCGAAATTGACTGCAAGCAAACTGTAGTTAACAGGAAATGAGAACACACAGCAGTCGCAAGTTCTTAAAAACATCGAACAGTTTGCCCGAAATAATTCTACAATACGAACTACGATATCGAATTCAACAGAGATAAAGCGACGTAAGACGCAAATCGATCAAGGCAGACAAATTTCATTGCAGCCAGTTCATTTGTAAGCTAGCTTCTTTTGATTTTGCTTTCTCGATAATATAATCTATTGCACTACTCCTTTATAATCATGCAAAATTAAACCACGGAGTAATGTAGTAAAATACTCATAACTAGCTATTGTATTATATTTTGACTTGAAGTAATAAGTAATTAGTCAATTCGTTATAAAAATTATGTTTCGCATTTGAGTACGGAATCATTGCGATGCTGATGATGCTACTTTCACCTTACCCCATGCCAGTAGAGAGTAATCACTACTTGTTAATGTGATTAAGATGCTAGTTCATTTCATTTTTTTATCAGTCGAATTACACCAAAGTTATTTTTTTTTACTATAATGTTTCCAGGATTCCGAGTAATGCTAACAGTCAAACAGTATTGTCACAGTCGTATTCGCGAGATAAGCTAAACAGAACGGGGATACTAACTACAGAAGTAGGTATTCCACCTAAGATTGCTGAATGGAAAAATAAACTGGTTCATTTAAGTTTTTTGTTCAGGTAAGATTTTAATCCCGAATATTGCAAAATAATATCTAGTTGGCACAATTTCATTATGGATATTTCGAAAAGAATCCAGCCAAGCTTTCTTTTCCTACTAATTTTGAAGCTTTCTTCCTACTGATGAAGCTAAGCTTTCATTGTTCAAGAATTACCATTGAAGAAGACATTGTTAATGAATAATACAAAATAAACAGAGCTCACAAATAAGATGCTGCTTTAATACTTATTATGGTAATATTTGCCATTCGATTTCATCTTAATGAGACCTAATATTTTAGGCGACTTTATCATCATCTAATGAAAAATCACATATAAAGATTCTAGATTACATTCTCCAGTTCATAATGTTATAGTTAATTTCGTAGTAAATCGGATTTTTTATACAAATGAATAGAACATTGGAGGGAAAATAATGAGAAAAAAATAGTACACATTTACTTGAAATCTTCAATTTAGAGATCAAGGAAGGAAAAATGGATACCGAAAGAGACTGATTTCTGATTGTCTTCAGAGTTTAACTTTTTCTCTTTTTTCTCTGAATCGTGAATTTTGCTGCTTATTATTAAACAGCTTAATGCTTATTAAGTTTGCAGATTTTTTTCATTGTAATATTTCAGCTCACTTGGCAACGGTACTATGTCAGCAATTCAAATGTGTGCAGAACTTGAGGCAGAATTTCGTCACCTGATTACCTTTTTGTGTTACACATCATCCACCAAAAGACCTGTAATGATTTCTGATCTCGTGGAAGTCTATGCTGGATCCTTGGTGAAGCTGCATCAGTACTGTGTAGTTGGTACTGATAATGTATGTTCCAAAAAATTTGTTTCAATAAGAAAAATATCCCAGACATTGGAATTAATACTGTTTTTGATTCTTGACATGATTTTTAATCGTATCTTTTTGAGTTGATTAAAGGTTTTTCGCTGGTGGATGCCAAGCCTTAATACTTTTAGTTACCAGCACATCAAAATTATCATTCAGAACTTGGGAATGGGGAAGAGATGAAAAAAGAAAAAAAAGGAGTTGATGCAGTAGGCTAATGATGTGCGTTATTGTCCCTGAATTATTAGCTCAGCTCTTTGTTTCCTTCACCTTTGTCACTTTGTAGAGTTCCGAGAGAGTTTTATACGCAGCAATTCATGAAGTGATATCGTTCTGGCTTCGATTTCTACACTGTAACAATTTGAATAAGTACGATCGGTTTTGGCTCCATACACGAGCTGTTATCACTCGAATGTTCAGAAACATCATCATTCAAGAATGCATTCTTGCTATTAAACATGATTTGGCTTCAATGCTCAAAGAGTAAGTTAGTATACTTCTGTCATATAACGATATGTTTATTTTCAGATACATACAAATTAGTTGGTAATAAAGAAAGCAAGTAATATCAAATCTCGCAGTTGATGGACTATGTCATGAAAATAATGAAAAATCGTTGAGAACTTGCACTGCGTATCATGTTCATTTTATTTAGGTTAACAATGCTCGTTCTGGAAAATAGCGAATATAGCTATGGCTTTTACGCATGTGAACAAATGGAATATTTGATGACTGTATTATCACATCAAACATCACATGTTAACTGCTAAGTAACTCAATACAATGCACTTGTCGCCACTCAATATGAAAAAATTTTCATTTTAGGCTATCATCTCTTAATATGACTCCTATGTATTCCATTGATCTCTGTGAAAAGTTACTTTATCTCGTTCATTGAAATCTTACATGTTACTGTAATTGATTTTGTTGATTGTTCAGTAATAAATGAGTTATGAAGAATCTTAATTCGGCATATCAATTCATTTATCGTAATTTTTTGGATTGATCTTTTATAATTCTCAATCTCATATCATAAATTTTTAATTTCTCATAGAGTGTCTTCGATCAATGGCTATCAACCTCACAAACTTCTCATACCATCAATGATCTCTTAAAGATCCTCAGGAAAGTGAAACGTCATTTGGAGAGATGCTTGAGACAGTGCCATCAATTTCCGAAATTGGCAAACTGGGAAATCTATACCACTACTTCCGGAGTTGTGACGTTAATTTCAGGTCTGGCATTGTGGGGTTCTATCGGGGTGTTGTTGTGTCGTGACATCTTTACCCGATGATATACCTTATCGAGGCAGTTTAGACTGATGGACATAACGAGAGTGGACCCCAATCAGAAACCCACGATGTCCAATCCGTCCGTGCCGCAGCAATCTGCCGTGAAGTTTAATGCCCCAGATAACAGGTAAATGTTAGAACAGTTGAAATTAAGGCAGGTCGGGTTTTTCTCGAAATTTTAATCATTTTTTAGCCACTGCTGCAGTCAAAATTCCACTGAAACTCTTAAAAGATTTAAATCTGATTTAAATGTGAGGCTTGCAAACCTAGATATGCCTCTCGATGGTTTGATAATTGACTCCTGTAGATTGAAGATTTAAACTTTTTAAATACGAGCCAAAATTCGTTATAGTTTGTTATATGTTCGATGTTCTGGGACTCAGCTCGCAAATTTTAGTAAGTTGAGCTATGATGTGCAATAATGACAGATAAGTAGATAAGAAGAAATTGAGCTCAAGAATCATAATATTACTAAAAGTCAAGTAGAGTGAGTTCTTTTATATGAACTAACAAAATAAGGCAAAAAAAGATTGCAAACAGTGACAATTTTAATGAACAAAATTTAGAGATTTGTATGATGAAAGTGGTTCGCTGAAAGTGCGTCGTTCCAATCGAGAAATTCGAAAACCCAAATTTGATGATGAAATTGTTGATAGTATTTCTACAGCTAAAATAGTGCAAAGAAAGCGACCAAGTGCTGAAAGATTGCATCATTCTCCGGAAGCTATAGATCGTTTTGTGGTGTGCTGCTTATCTATTTATCCACAAGATTTTTCGATGATGATACGTTGGAATGAGCATCTTTTCGGTCTTTTTTTATTTTGATCAGAAAACTCTGTTCTGCTACTACTTTATAGGTTTGCCTAAATGTTAAAAGACCTTACCAAATTTTTTTGAAATCCGTAATCACTTCAAGTTTTTCAGATGTTTATTTTTACTGCAGGAAAAAGCTCAAACGGCGACCCGAGTGAAACTTAGTAAAAGACAGTGGCGAACCACCGATACTAATGCTGGAACTTCTGTTGAAGTTAAAAGCTTTAAGAAATTTCCAGGAAAACCTGTTTGTCAAATGCAGTCTGTTATTTTTGCTGATAAAGTACGCATTTTGTAATATTACAAGCACTTGAAATCGAAAATTCTAAAGCCTTAAATAGAGATGAAGTACTCTGCTGAAGTCACAAGAAGAAATATTTCTTTTAACAAAATGTTTTGCAAAAATTTTTAGACATTATAAATAATAAGATTTATGCATTTAAATAATTTGGGTAATATAATGATAATTTGATTGAACTTTTGCTTAGGTGTTTAATTTATCAAGACATTTATATATTAACATATTGGCAAGAATTTCTAGAAAAGACGTGAACGATCTGCGAGTAAAGAAGCACGAACAAAAGAGTTAGCAACCTTAGCATCACATACAACAAATCTCGGTACCGGGTTAACCGAGTCACTGAAGAAATGGACTGCACTAGATGATGTTGCTCTTATAACAGCAGTTACTCGGGTATGGTATTTGAAATCGTTGACAAATAAAATCACAAAAATTTTATCTTTGTTATAATCATTTACCTGCTTAGATTTTAAACTATCTTCGAAACAAGTAAAACAAAATTGGTTTTTTGCCAAAATATATTTCCAAAATGTTTAGGTAAGCAGTCTTGCTGCCGTTCATGGAGCTGTTCGTTTTTCACGACTTTTTACTCGAGCCGAGATTGAAGAAAGGTGGTATGAATTGCTGTACGATGAGGTTTTCTTTTTTGGTTGAACTTTGAGAAAGTGTCGATGTAACTTAATTGTTGACGTTGAGAAAAGAGTAGGTAAAGAATCCCGAGCTTCACTAGCTTCGCTGGGTAATTAATATCTCAGGATTGCTTAGGTTTCAAGCGCAATTCATATTATTATTAGATATATTTATATGTTCACTTAGTATGCAAGCTTTTACTTTCGAGAGATTAGTTCCTCTTTCCTTTTGGATGTGTTGGTCTTAATGTTGTTCCATTCATAGCTTCGTACCTAGCATATTTATTTGTAGCATTCTTTTCTTAAGTCACATTAAAGTTTCATGAGAATATACATATAAAATTGATAATTTGAACTGAGTTAATCATTTTTAATAACATAATAGCAGTTGTAAATTAATTCACCGAACAATAGCTTAGACATCAAGTATTATTATTCGCTAGCCAATCTGTCATTGACACATAGCCTATATACTTTATTATATACACAACTTACTGGATAATTTTAGTTGTGAAGTTGGAAAATAAATGCGTCACTGTTTTTCCCCAATATACATCTGATATTGTTTATTAGTATGCTTGGTGTGCTCTGTCACTTCGCTTTTAGATATTAAATCATATTTTAAACTTAATTTATCTAGATGCAGTAAATTTTTAATAGACCAGCAGATTATGGGAATAAAATACTAGGGTTATGAACGCATCTTTTCGCTATTTAAAGTATTTTAATGAAATACCACATGACTTTGCTTAAAACTTTTATTTGTATGAGTTTATTTCTGATTTCCTTGGTTCTTTGTTCTAGCAATTTTTGCCAGATAGAAATCTATGAAAAAATGAACCATAGTTATTAACAAATGCTTCAATAGGGATTTAACTTTTCAGGTCGCTTCGAATATCGCTAAAAGACGAATTGCAGATCTTTCTGTGGAAACTATAAGTGCAGTGCAATCAAGGACAGTTTTCACTGTTGAGGAAGAAGAACTGTTATCAGCCATTCCGTCAACGACTGGTGGTAGTGACTTAGCAGTGTTTGAACAGGTTGGAGATTATTTCCCATTGGCGACAAGTTTTTTATATTTCTTGTTTATTTCCTTGTTTCAAATTTACCGAATTGTCATTTGTCAAATTTTAGTTATTTCTAATATATGAATTAGCTTTAGCAGCAGAAGCTAAAGTGTAGACGTCAGTGACAGCACTAAAAAAAGAAACTTAGGTAGCCGGTAAAGAGGTTACGACGTTAATTATAATAGAAAATAGATTAGTAATGGAATTTGGTTGTAATCTCTGTAAATATTGTTTAGGGAATTCTAAATTTCATTTTGCAGCTGTTGGAACGGAACAAGGAAGCATTTCATCATGCGAGAACTGCATATGTTCTACAGCAACATTGGTTGGAAATGAAAAATTGGGATTTATTACAAGATCAAAGGAAGGCTAGCAATCGTGTGCTGGATTTTGCAGAAATTGAACAAAGCCTAGAGTGGAATGGTGGGTGGGATCGGCATATTAGTTTCGAAGAGACGCGTTTGTGTAAAGCAGCAGTTTTGGCTGAACGTGCTTGGCTTGAATGGGAAAAGGTTATTTTTTATTTGCCACTCCAGAAAATATCCGTAGTACAAATTCTCTCTCTTATCCTCTTTCTTTTCTCAGTCTATCTTGAATCAAATAATAACGATAAACATATTGCTTCTGAATGCACATACTTTTATTTGGTGAATTTTCAGGTACATGTTGAAGCTGTCAGTGGAATATCCGATGATTCACAAATGGGCGAGGGTGTTTGGGGTGTTTTGAAGGGGCGTGTTGTGCGCTACTTACTACGGGGCGAAACTATTCTAATAGGTCGTAACACACAATTTCATAGTGTATGTTATTATTAATTGTTTCAAATAACAAAAACGTAAAACAAAATTCACGGTATATACGCGCGTAATTCTCTTGATATAACTTTAACACCATAGTGCGTTCCAATTCTCATTCGTTTTGTGGTAGTAATAGTAATTAATTTAAAAAAATCATTTATTCTTTGGAGTAAGAGATGAAATCTGTACACAGAAATACATCTTTGGTTGAGCATAGTTGCCTTTGTCATCTATTATACACCATCAATTTGAAAACAAGAAAAATATGCGAGATAGAAATTTGCACTTGCAGATTACGAAATATAACCGATTCGAATTGTACTTTAATCAGTTATTTCTACTAATACTAACAAAAAAAAACTGTACTCTGACGGTTTCACGAAGAAATTCTAAATTAATAAATTTAAACTACTTTTCGCCTCTTCAGGTTGATATTAATTTGGCTCTGGAAGGACCGGTTGCAACAGTCAGTCGAAAACAAGCTATTTTGAGAATAGCACAAAATGAGCCAGCGAAGGTAGTGGAAGTAACCAATATTGGAAAACCTCCAATATATGTCGACGGTAAAACGCTGTTAAGTGGTGATAAAACCAGATTGTTTAATAATGGACTGATAGAAATCGCTCAAATACGCCTTCAACTGTTCATTGCTGTGCCGAGCACAGGTGAAAACAGTAGCACCGGCAGCAACCAACAAACTGAAACCAAAGCAGCACCAACCGAACAACCGTTTAAAACATTATCGTCTGTTGTCCAACCACAGTCACTGGCATTTTGAGTATCAATGATTCATACACGTATTCTTGTTATGTGTTCGATATAGTTGCAAAAGATTCTGCTGATATCCTGGAAGTATTTCATTTTATTTTTGAAATCTTGCAAGTCCAATAACCAGACATCTTTATATATCGAAGACATGTAGTTTCAAAAGCATTTGTAATTGCATGTAAAATCGATTTCTTTCTGTGGATTTGAGCAGAAATGCAAAGAAATTTTACCTTTGTGTTTGTGCCTTTGCTACTGAAAGAGAATCGGAACTGAGCTGTTTTGGAAGTGAAATATGGGAATTATCATCACGACTTATTTTATGTTGTTTGGCCGCAGCTGGCATCTTCTTCTGATTACCCATATTGAATACGAAATTTCGCCAACCAAGATGTTTTGAGCCCTGCAACGCATTAGTATTGTTATTGAAATGAAGTTGATTTTGAGACAAATTTTCAAATGCAATCATGTATGGACGTCGGAATCGTTTAATTTCACAAGCATTACTTGTTGCTGAGCTGCCGAAAGTACTCCTTTGTAGATTTGGGAATGTAAAAATCGTGGATACGAATCTTTGCTCATCAAGGTGAATATATGCTCTTCAGCTGGGGAAAATGCATGTCGTCTGGCTACTGACTTATCCTCCAGTGATTTCATTGTAGCATCTAGAGTACGTGAATCGACATTTACCTGGAAGCAAAAAATTATTAGCTGTATTTCATACATTGAGGGCACTATTCATCGCCATGATTAAAAAACCCCTACTCCGAACACACTCATAAAATGCAAAGTTGAACTTGATGTTTCGGACTTATTTTTAAACTGATGTCGCCGATGCCGACGAAACAATGCACTTCGAAAAAATCGACTGTCTGCTTAAAAATCATAAAACAAACCCGACTGCAACCAGTCCGATAACTAGTAAGGGTCAAGAACATACCTGACAAGGAGCACCAGGCGACAAAAATTCTTCATAAATGTGCTGTGCCTTCCTTTCTACTTGCTCGTTCGCAGAAAATTTCAAATCTTGAATGGCCATCCAAAACCGTATGTTTTCAGAGGAAAACTCGCTTTCTAGGAATGTTTCAAGAACTTGTCGTCCAATAGGATCACGAACGAGTTCTTGTACAGAAAGGCCCCACCGTTTAACCCGTCGTTCGGTCGGCACTTCCACCCTACAATGATTTTGCGCAAAAAGGCTTTTCAAAATCTAACACAATAACACAAACATTAAAATTCTTTTTAGAATCACAATTTTTCTTCTATTATTACTTTTATCTGAAAAGAATATAGAAACAAGCGCCATTTTGTTGTCTTCGTTAATAAATATATTATAAGCTGTAATAAATGTATTATTATAAGCTTATTAAGCATAGTGAATTATCTTATTTTAACTAGTTTATCTGTAAAGTAATAATACTGACTACAGGACAATATATTATTACATGAAATTATTTTTCTATTAGCTGATATAACAGAAAACTTACGAATCAGTATTTAACACCCATAAATTAGTGTCATCAGATATCCATGGATTACTAGGTTGTGGAGTTGATATAAAAGGATCATAGTCATGGAACTGTTCACACCAAGACACCATGCTAAATTTTATAATGCCATTTTATAGCTTTATTTTAGCTAAAGAACACTCAATTCTGAACTATCTCAACCTGTATTAAAATAAGTGAACGGTATATCATTTTCCTTGTATGTACATCTTTTTATTATTACAGTGAGACAAAATTCTTCCTTCTTAACACCGTGATAGTTTATAGAACTTTCTATTTCATCCTTTTCAAGTCAGAAAGTAAACCTTATTTTTTTCATTTCTTTTTGTTTTATATACTAAAAAAACTACAATGCTAAGAAAGAAATAGTAAGTGCTTACGTTTCACTTGCTTTCATAGCCTTTAGCCAAGGTTTTGTTTTCAAAGTGAATCTCAATCGTTCCAGTTCTCTTCGATAAACAGCAGCAGTACACTTCCGTAATTTTTTTTCTCTTTTCTGAAATTGCGTACCTTCCAAAAACACAGTGCTGAATAAGTGATGTACTACGGAAACACACTTTGACGTAGTGAAACTCTCCATCGTTGAACTGTTTTCTTAACTTCAAAATTGAACAACCTTACTACTGTTAGATGGCAAACAATAAGCCAACAGTTTCAGTTTAATGCTCCATGATTATTAAGAAACGGCCCATATTCAAAATATCAAAGCATTCCAGACCAAATTTCAAAATAAGGTTTTCTAGATTTTTAAATTTCCCTAAGATTTTGAATAAAAGGGTGACCTGGATGTGTTGCTCGAGACAATTTGCTTGTCCAGGTTTTCGGGTTCTCCAAAATGCCCTTTCTTCACTGTCATATACAACTTTGTCACTCTTTTTTTTCTCCTACAAACATATTTCTTCACATTCCTTCATTTACTTCGGAAAATCAATTAAAGTTGATCAATAATGTGCTTAATTATAAAACCAACTTTATTTATTTCTTGAGCCAGTATGCATGGCCGCTGTCGACATCATTACTAATACCAATATTTGCAATTAATTTTATAATGTAAAGTTAAAATTTAAATCTATTCAATAATGCTTCCAATTTAATAATTTGACTAGTAAAACAAGTAAAAACGAAAATTTCAAATTAATCAATAATTAATAATTAA